AATTAAAAACACTAAACTTATAAAGTCGGCTTTTATACATACAATTTAATTAAACACCACCAAATAACCATTTTTGGATTTTACCCTACCTGGCCAATTTCTATAAGTCCTTTCTCTTTAAACCATTACGCAAATTTATGGGTATTTGACAGTTTCTTTGTTTCCCTGTTGCAATTGTGCAATATTGTGTTGCAAATTTCGTAAGCTATTGTCAAATTCATTCTGACAGTTGACTTTAGTGTTTATTGTTTTCTTTTATATATTGTTTACAAGAAAACTTACTCATATTTGGGTACAGTCATTTGAAACAATTCGTAGTCGCCGCCTTAGATTTCTTCGGTTTCCGGAGCCCAGTAAAGAAATTATTATATACATATTCTCAAAAAATACATACATTCCTTACAGTACTAAATCAATATGATAATGTCAAAAATTAAATATCGTAAAATAAATAATATTAAATACATAAGATCGTTACTGTTGACTTACTCTGCGAACATATAAAAATGTCGAAAGTGCAAAATATATTTTTAATTAATAAAATAATTGGTAGTTTTAGATAAGAATTATATATTCCAGCAATCTATATCGAAATCTAAGAGCTAAATACAAAACAATTAAAGCTAAAATTCCTCTATTTTTTGCCCCATAGTTATTCTAATCAGTGAGTTATTGGTGAAACGTCACCGATCAGCATCTGGCCCAGCATAAATCTGTCGCACATGAAAAGAATTAAAACGCCCCATTGTGGCCAAGGAATAAATCTCGCAGATACGACTCTGCCGTGAGTCGACCGACTCTATATTTTACAAGTTTTTGACAGCCGATATGGAGCAACCGCCACCTGCCGCACAGATTGTTACTATTCAACTCATTTTGACATTATTAGATATCTCTTTCTATTTCCGATGATTTATGGGAAAATAGGGTTTTGGAGTAAGAATTAAATTGTATAAAAAAAGGCGAGGATAGCTTTTTATAAGAATAAACTTAATTAAATTTTAAGAGAAATAAGCGCGCCAAATTGGCCACTTAATATATTCTATTGTATTTAAAAAAATATTCTTCTGTATTTAAAAAAATATATATGATTAAACTTAGTGTGTTTTGTACTTGTAACTAAGTTACTTTGCAAATTAAAAAAAAATCATAAAACATTACTTTATGGTAGTAAAACATTTCAAACATCAGTATAAAAAGTTTAAATTTATATACTAGGCGTTAGGTTATAATAAAAACGTAATAAATATATAGTGAGCCTTAATCAATACGACATATTCGTTCGACTCATAAATTGTGGTAAATAAAACCACCAATAACATTATAGTGTCGAGTTTATGTTGACGCCCTTGATGGCAGACGGATTTTTATTGTCGGATGGTCTGTACCAGCTGATAAGGAATGGAACACGCACTGATACCTCGATTTGTTGTATTTTGATATTTAATCAAACAATTGCTAGTGTCTACTGTTAATAATAAGTTAGTAAATATTTTTAAATTAGTTAAATGATTTTATTTTGCAGTTCACGATTTCTTGCTAAAACAATATTATCTTTTTATATCTTTAGTGTTAGAGGTACACCAAATGAAAACCGAAATAGAATTCACTGTATGTAATATGTATTTTATTTATTTATTTCCTTATTTCCTTTTTATTTTTACAGTAACTTAATACTAATACAATAGAAAAGTTATTAATATGAAAATTTAACTAAAACATTTTACAATTTATAACTAATTATAAATAATGCAATTATATATAACTAATTATAAATAATTTAATTGTGAATTCAGCCAGTGTGCAATTAAATATATCTGTCTTACTTGCAATAATATTCAGGATGTGCAAAACACGCGTAAATGGCGCTTCAAAAACGTAAACATAAAAGTGATATTTAGAAATTTATGTTTTACAAAAGAAGCTAAGATTAACCTTACTTAGCAATAATTAAACAGAAAAAAACCTTATAGGTACAAAATTTACTTTAAGCATAATTTTAACGACAACTATTCATATCAAAAATAGACAAAGCTCTCAGTATTAAACTGAATTTGCTTAAGATCTATCTTGAATTTGCAATAAGACGATATTTTAAGAGTGACTCCAAGATATTGTTTAATACTTTGAGCGGTAAGTTTTCATATTTACTACCTACTTATAAACCCAAACAAAACTTACATACTACGTTACGTAAAGTATTAAAATGATAATTATACAATAAATGCTTCTTACATTCCTTCAGCCTCTTGCAAATATATCCAGTCTTGGTGCGGAACTGAGGTAATACTTTAGCACCGAAACCATCCACGGCTCCACTCAAACAACAGGGCATGCTTTCAAGATGTGAAACACCTTTCAGGCACATACAGCCTAAGCAATGCTGGAACCCATACAGTCTGTTCTACCCCTAATACATTTATTGCATAGTTAATTGCAGATTGGTCTTTCAATTAAATATTTCATTCTCCAATGAGCCCAGCAAACTATTGGGAAATTATCACTTATTAAGTGGAAAAATATTTATACAAAAGCTCATAAAATGAATATAACCCTGAATGTTATCTTAAGTTTTAACAATCAAAAACGTATGTTTAAATGACATACATATTTAATTACGGTAACGGTTTTGTTTGCAAATACTATTCAATAAAAATATGTAATATAATTAATTAAAAACGTGAAATGTTAATTTACGTAATTGCTACAATAAATTTTGCGACGTGCTCTATATTTGGCAGAAATCGAAAATAAAAAGACGCAAACAAGTCACAGACACATATTATAGAGATAAGGGAATTGACGAATGAAATTATTGTGTCAATTAGTGTTAAAAGCTGGGAATTTAAGAGATAGTAGCATGAAAGTCATCGAAGGAGACGAGATAACGTCACCTTTATATGGTATTTATTTACTGTTATTACTCAAAATTTATTTCGGATAAATAAATTTATATCTTCTATGGATTATTTTTATGATATCTGAGATAACACGTCCGCGCCAAAACGATCCAAGCGAAACGCAATAGCACTGCCTATCTTTTCCTGAAGTGATTTTTTCTTAGAGGACGTATTTAAATATTTATTTTATTAAGTTTTATCATTTTATCTGCTCGTTCACTTATAATAAGGAAAACTGTGCTAGAAAGTCTTTTGTTAAGTGGGTACTTATTTGCGAATAATCAATGCTATCCATGAAATTTATTATTAATTATTGGTATTTTTCACTTATTTTTTAAACGTCGTCGTCGGCTATAAATAAATAATAATACAGTGTAATTCGTTATACAGAGATTTCGTTAAAGGGAGCGAAAAATTAATATATGGGTATTGGGTTAAACCAAATAAATTTAACTATTTTTTACGTTATAGGGAGGTCTTCGTTAAAACCAATAATGTTGTAGAGAGTTTACACTGTAATAATATGTCGGGACAATTCACACAGATTGATAAAACATTGTTCTTTTTTTAAATACTATGTTACTTAAGAAGAATAATTATTATTTGTCCATTCTTTCGATTGGCATAAAAAAATGAAGTGTTTTTTTCATATTTGTGTCGATTCGATTCCCAGCGAGACAAGGAATTTTTAGAAAATCATGATTACTTCACTTACTTTTCAAAATACAATAAAGTTTTCTTTCAGCAAAATATCCTATCTACGATATTTAAGGTTCTTTCCCTTGATGTCCCATAGTCTTGGAACGCTCTGTATAATATGATACTATATATAGATGATATAGCGATTCTATCCGTCGTGTTGTAGAATACAAGGGCATTATTGCGACATTATTTTTTTTAAAGTTATTGTAAAATATGTACTTTATATTCAGAAGCTTTTACGATGAGTAAAATGATAATCGCAATAAAACGTAATGACCTTAGTTAACGATAAATGGATAAAATCGATAAAAACGTACATATGGAAACGTCATCTCGATCCTTCTCAAAGTATTCGATAAATTACAAAAAGTCGTTCAAAAAAACGACAGTCAATTAAAAAACGCTTTTATTTGTTGGCATTCGAGGTCTTATTCTGATGCGCATAAGATCGTTCGATAAATAAGATCTGAGAAGTCGTACGATATGTCAGTGAATTTATGAGGATGATGTGACATGGTCGGGGCGCGATGGCCATAAATTTGATATCAAACGTTATAAAGTGGTAATTCGAGACGCGATTCAGCGATAGCGGCGGATTTATAACGATACGTTTGATTAATACTGGACGGCTAAATAAATAAAAATCAAATTGCCGACATTATTATACTGTGATTTTTTTAAATTTTCAAATAAATTTTTACGACATTTGCGAGTTTGTATTATGCACGAGTCGTAATTCAATTCGCAAGAAAATGCTAAAGGTTAGCCTACCGTCGTACCCATTACGTGTACATATTTTAAAAGAAGTGTGTAACGAATGTGTTACATTCATTAATTATATTCATATCAATAATATATTTCAAAATTCTATTAGGTGAATTATTATTAAAGTGTTATTTTCAATCGACTTCAAAAGAGAACGACTTATCGTATGGCTTACGACGTCATTATTTTACTAACATTAAGCAAGCAAGGAAGGGTAGATAATAATTAATATAATTTTTAAATACAACTTTTACTACTCTGAGTTTCATCATCGGACGTCGTGGCAGAATACGAAATTCCACCTGCATCACCTCGACGTCCGCCGTTCCACACCTGAGCGTTTTTAAAGGCAGTTTTTGCCGCGCACCACCACTATGTGGAACCAGCTGCCCACTGAAGTATTTCCGAACCAATTCGACTTCGGGCCCTTCAAGAAAAGAGCGTACCAATTCTTAAAAGGCCGGCAACGCACTCGCGAGCTTTTTGGCATTGAGAATGTCCATGGGCGGTATCACTTAACATCAGGTGAGACTCCTGCCCGTTTGCCCCCTATTCTATAAAAAAAACTATGATTATATTATATTGCGCATTTTTCTGGTTTTCATTAGGAGTGTTGTTAAAAACAGTGTAACAATGTGGCTAACACACCGTTTGGTTTCAGATGAGGAGCGAAGTGGTGCACCGGCAGCGCAGCTAGAGATGCGCTCCAAGCAGCAGCCGAGGCCTTCATACCGCTGGCTCAATTCTAACGATAACGGTTAGTTTTTTTATATTAACCTAAAGTATTTTTGACGCAATTTGACATATAGTCCAGAAAAGTACCAACTCTTTAAAGGCCGGCAACGCAATTGCGAGCCTTCTGTTAGTCAGGTGAGCCTGCGGCCCGTTGGCCCCGTGTTCTATAAAAATATATAGAGGGTAACTATTACATAGTAAAGTATAGTAGAGTAGACATTTTATTTAAACCTTAAAGCTCGCACTGTCATTTAGATATGTTTGAGTAGGTATATATAAAAATCTTTAAATTAAATTCTTTCACACGTGTTTAATTCACACACCCTTACACATACTCACACACACATCCACTCATTTTTTAATTTAATTTTGTTTTGTTTGTTACTTTAATTTATTCATAGTATGTAGTCATCTCTTTGTATATTTTCTGTCAACCCCCCTCCGCCGGGACGGAATCCCACAAGGATCACCTCAAAAGTTACCACAGGTAAACTTTTTTTATAGTCCTAAGTTTATAACGGCATCAGCCAATGGTACCGCTAATGGTAGTCCCATATAAAACTTATCTTCAGATTGATCGTAGGACCTGCAGATTTCTTCACGATGCTTTCCATAGACATATATTTTTCAAGTACCCTTGCATTGCCCATAAAACCTGTCTTCTTTGATCTTAGACATTTTTACCCTTGACAAAATAAGGACAAACAAATAGGACATACATATTAAAATTGGTGCTATATCTATAATATGTGGATATGACAAGTGAAATTAAATTAAAAAAAGGAAGAAATTTAAACTAAATTATAAAAATATGTGGAGAATGAAGATCTTATAAAACGTGGATTACAAATAATGGTTACCGTGGTAACTTTTAATTGTTAAAACACATCGTAACCATGGCAACCAACTCCGTACCTAAGTCCACGTGTAGCACCATAGAATCGCCCTTCATAATTATTCATAGACTGAAAATAAATAGTGGATAGGTACGTCATTATGAACACAAAACGCAACCGGTGACGTGACAACTGAATATTCAAAACGAAAGCAATAAATATAAAGTTATTACTGTAGAAAAAAATCATACACAAATGTAGTGCATAACTCATAGGTCTTTTTGTATGTTAAGCCGGCGTGAAGCTATAAATTATATTTATTTTTGCTATTATACGCGTTTTTGTCAGTCGTTACGCTTGTATGCAGCGGTTTTAGTACGGGGTGATCGCAACTGCAAGCTTAACATGTGATTTGAATAGCGATTTCAATAATTGGTCAACTAAAAACTCTATCAGATGATGTCGCAAAATGATGTGAGTTAAATTGGAATCACTATTAAAATTAGGTAATCTTACAGCGTAACAAACAATTTAAAAGCGCATGCAATAGAGTGGTGTCAAGTGACGCTTTGGCACTGTGACATTCCAAATTCAATTCATTAACACTTTGCCATAACGTAAATCTAAATTTAAAATTATAGGCTGTTGGCTTTATTACAATGTTTTGAAAAGTTTGATTCGAATGTTTGAAATTGGAATACAACATTCCAGTAGAAGATATGAATTTTTAGAAACGCGGTTATTTATTTCCTGTCTTTGTTAATCTCACAATTATTGTTGTGGGTAGTAAAAAAAATACAATATGTATTATATCATAATTTGTTATCATTTTATTTAAATTTATCGTGTCTTTAAGATCTTTATTATTAAAATAGTACATCTGTCCGTAAATCAGCGTAACGCCATAGCAAAAGAAACTGGTTAACGTTAGGGCTGCAATTATTATTAAATTACACAGATTAATATTATTTTTTAAATATTCAATAGTTTATTTTAAAGGGTTTATTTTTTGTTCATTTTTACCTACGCAATTCGTATAATTAGACGGACTTATGTTATTTGAACATAGGGTTTTGGGCAAGAAAGTTGCGTTTGAGTGTAAATAATGATCTAAAATTGCAAGTAGTAACATATATATTAATAAATATATAAGCTATTTTTTTAAATAAAAAAGAATTGTCAAACGTACACTGCCACAGAGACCAAACTTTTTAAATTTGTTTAATTTTCTTTTTAAATAATTTTTAATTATTTCTGTTATTACAGGTTAAAAAAATTGTAAATACCCATTATACGTATACAGAATATAAGTTATTATAAATTTAAATACTTAGATCAGTATAACAACAACAGATGATTTTTATTTATTCTTTGCGTAATATAAGGTTCACTTGATCCGTTACTCAAGCCCCTACAATGAATTAGAGGTAGGCAATAAAATTGTGTGCATTGCATAGTTTAATGATATTTATGGGCCTCTGTGGGTTTGCATCGACATGCTTTCTCTTTCTTTGTTAACCAGGGGTTTGGCCCTATTTAAATATGAAATAAAACCAGAGTAAAAGTTACTATTGACAAATACCTTATACTACACGTTGTGAGTCGGTACTCTTCCTCTGATAGTTAGAGAGCTACGCACAAAATATTTCACAAAGCACACACACAAACAGTATTAGTGAAAGCTTTGTCTCTTTCTGTGAAATTGTCTTTACGCTATGAAAACAAAAGACAGTATTTTAGTTGTGAATATAAAAGTTTCGTCTAAAACTTGATATGTATAGATATCTACTACACCCAGGGTTCCTTTTCAGCTATATTAATAGTAATACCACTATTATTCCATATTATAAAAATTACCTCTAAAATGGGCATTAGTTTTGTTGTTATACACTTAGACTAAGTTTTATAGTTATTTTTACTTCGTGTTTCGCATTCGCTACATATGTTGGGTATAGACCTCCTCGTGAATTTTCTATTTGGATCTGTTCTTTGCTACCTCCATCCATTCCTCCCCAGAAACCGGAAACCCAGAAACCATCAGCCCATCGCTATTGTGGTCTTCCCACGTTTCTTTTCCCTGGAGGTCCCCTCCAGCGGGTGGTGTCGGCAGTCCATTTTTTATCTGTACTTCCGCTATACTAATCAAAATTAACCACAATGAGTTACAAAGGGTAGTCAATAAAAGTAAGACGGGAGCCAAATCGTAAAACAACAAAACGTTTACGACCCTGCGGTTAACAATTGTTTTCACAGACGCTAAGTCATTAACTAATGATTTATGAGTTTATAGATTAATGACTGACATATCGTGGATATAAAAATAATTACAGGTACGTTTTAGAAATTATTGTTGATATACCAGTGGCGCCACAACCCTTTGTCAGCCATCTTGTATTTCTTGGCCTTCGATTGCATTTGCTATTATTGTTATTTATCTATTCTTCCATACGTATTTATAGTATATTCGCGGTTGCTTAGCCGACCCACGTGACTTCTTCAATACAAAGAGTCCTCTCAGTGCGTTGTTTGTTGAGATATTGATGGTTACTCGATTGTGAGGAAGTTGCATGAATCTGATCAGTGCTGCGCCTTTTTAAGTTCTCATGTTACTTTCACACGTGTACATATCTTCATAAGTATCTGATTGTTCTCATTTTAACATGATTTATTTAAGAGCAAAAATGAAGTAAAACAAAATAAAAATTTGTTTTTTGTCCAAATACATATAAGCAATTAGGACAATTCAATGAGCAGTGTTGGCCTAGTGGCTTCAGCGTGCGTCTCTTCCCGAGTCCCTAACCGTAAACAAAAACAGGGCTTTACTCTGTAACTTCCAATAGCGATTCCGAACTTAATAATGAGATGTTTTTCCAAGCGATTCCAAGGTTCTGACGACAGCTCTATGTTCTCTATATTGAGAGATCTACCCAGAACTTGCTGGGACGTTGGGTTTGGTTTCGCTGTCGGTATTGCAGTTACAGTGTACTGATGCAAATCTGAACCAAATATCCGGCCATTCCGTAATCACCTTGCCAAAACGATACAATGTTATTTATTATATTTTAATTAAAATATAAAATAATTTAATAGATTTAATACGTATCTCGTAGCCCATCGGCCGTAAAGAACGTTTATTTGTCAATAAAAGGGCGTAAACGGCTGTAGAGTTTGTACGCGGTCGTAAACACTTTTATCGCTACTTGTGTGGGCCTCCATTAATCTATAGAAAAAGATTAGAATATAACGAATTGTGGAAAAACGTATAAATCTTTAACAGAAAACTATTGCGCAAGATGAACAAGACATAGGTCTTGTGCTGTCAGGACTTATATGTATGTTATTTTTTTTTTATGAAGCATAAGGGTAAATCTATAGTTGCAATATTTGTGAATATGTGAGCACCATGTACCTACATAATAATTTAGTTATCTTCTGCAGTTTTTTTAGTCTAGGTACATGATCTTTACGTACAATTACAAAATATTGTAAAAACAATTATTAAGGAGCAAGTATGGAGTTTCTTGCCCATTCTTCTCCATGTGAAACTTTTGGAGAGGCAACTAGAGTCATTTTTTCATTATCTTAAATTTGTAAATTTGTCTTTCAAAAGTGCCTTTTATATAGGCCAAATTGAAAGAAAACTTCGACCTTATAGATCCTTAGAAAATACTCCCTCGATTCGTCCACGATCTTCATCCCTGTTCATGAGGCCTTGTACCAATTGACTTTCCTACACTTGTAATTAGCACTTCCTTGAAAAAAAAAACAAGAGGCAATCAGCATATTTTAAAACCAAAATATCTTAAACATTCCTTTTTCCTTTAACTTCTAATATAGAGAATTAAAAAAATGATGTTTGTCAACCCTAGAAAAGCGTTATAAAAATGCGTACCAAAACCTATATGCTACTACCGGACCCGATAGACGTTGTCCTGCATGATATTTCAAGCGATTAGGATATTAAACAAACTTTAAAAGTAGCTGCTGCGCCATCTACCGGGCTTAGTAGTGAATCTAAACCAAAGAGGGCACCACCCAAAGTCATACAAAAAAAAATCCGTTCAAATCGGTCCAGCCGTTTAAGACGAGTTCAGTGGCATACACACGAACAGTAGAATTATATATTATATAAAGAAGATAATATCTTCTTTATACATATATTATGGATGACCTATAAACCTAGACCCGTTTAATAAGCAGTTTTCAGCTTTTTAAATTATCTCTAAATACGAAAAAGGTACACCTTAACTACTGATTTCACGTAATGAAAGACTCCTTAATAGATCTAAATTACTTAAGTAACCGTTAGCCCTTAATCATCTCTGAGTAGGTACGGCCATAAGACATAAATTAGAAATGAAATATCCAAAGATCAAATAACACTTAAACATAATTCAAAATTTTCGTATCGGAAAACCGTCCAATAAATTATTCAAATCGAAAATGTCATCTAATTGTTTTATATCTCACGTTTAGTCCATTAATATCAATCACATGGATTTTAATTTACATTTGTCCGCCATAATAAACATGTCGTGTATAATGTCCGCTACTCGATTGTATCGATTATAAATACTCGATTATCGGTAATATAAGCACCTTGAATTGGGAATTTAAGTGTGACGGTGTTCCATTTTTTTTTATCCTGTATTTTTAAGATATTTTACGCATATAGTAGAACTATTATGGAGTAGATATTTTACATCCTCTTTAAAGTCAGTTAATTTTTTTCTATATCTGAGGTGGTATATTTGCACATTTCGCACTAAAACCACCTCGGGTTGTTCCTACAAGAGCGCATTGGAGACGCTCCGGGGTTCCCCACGCATTCTACCGGCTCCATTATGCGTCTCAAAAGCTCTGATGCAGTATACACAACACAGGAAGATATAGGCATATCTTCTCTATTTTTCTAATTTGTAAAGTATTTTTGTTGAACTTTTAGTAATACATTTTTGATGAAATATTGGCGTGATAATAATGTGGTTTCCTAATTCCGTTCCATGCAGGCTTTATTATTGAGTTTTTATCAATGTGTAAACATAGTTTACCTCTCGTGTCGCATTAAAATTTAAAAAAACTTCTTACAATTTTAATTGTTGATTTACTGACGAAACTGTTTAGAGTCTTTGTACCGTAGAAATTATTTTACTTTTTGTATTGATGAATATTTAGATTATAAAAAACACAGAAAGCTCTTACAGTCTAAATATATAAATATTCAAAACAAAGCAATAAATATGTGTACATTAGGCATCAATAGTTTCTTAGATGTTAATGCGTCAATCCACTTTAGAACGGACCAGATAGATGGCTCACGTGTGGGCATAAGATGACGCTTTTACGTCTACAAAAGGACACAATTTACCGTTGTTTTGATCCACTATTTTTGTACAATAACACATTTTATCCGCTTTAACTTTTGATTTTACATACAGAATCTGTGATTATTCAAACACTGTGTGCATTGTGCTTGCCTCTGTATTCTATTCTTGTGGTGACAATGGTATACACATCGATGTTTTTTTTGCTTTACGAAAACAAGTTTATAAATGAGGTGAAGAAATCGAGCATGAATAAATGTAGACAAAATCTAACCTACAAACTAGATTAATATATCCTTATTATAACAGCCAGACAAAAATAAACATCTTAATTAATGCATATTTAATTCTCGATTTAATTTATTAAAGTAGCCAAATAAATCTGACGTCGACAACCGTAAAAATTAATATTTCTCGCGGAGCTTAAATTTGTTTTTTATTTAAATAAAATCATTTAGTGACAACACGAGATGGAAGACGGACTTTTATCATATTTCTAAACGCTTCTGTTAATTGAGGTTGTAAATTATTTTACAATAAATTAATTGTTTATGCAAATGTCACGATTTGTATGAATGTGTGTATAATTCTATAGTTTTATGGGAAATATTAATATTCGTACACATTAGGATTTAAATAAGGCTTTGATTTATATTAATTGTGTATTAGCGGGACAGTTTTGTCCCCTATTCCAGCGGTGGGTATGTCACAACTAGTCACATAACCGTCATCTCGAGTTTCGTAATCGTTAGCGAAATATCGTCACCGTTAACTATATAAAATATTATCTGTCATTTGTAAAATTAAAATATGTTTCGCATTATTATTTCACATTTATGACATAACTAATATCAGTTTTATAATCTGTGCTCATTCTTTACCTAATTATGAAATTATAATCTGTGAATGATATGCCTCATTGGACGAACTCGGTGTATGTTAACCTGTTGAAAACTTGATTGTTTCGGATGGAATTTGGCTTAAAAATGAAATTGTGAGTCATATATTCTAATTCGAATCTCAAGTCACAATATAGTCTTGAGCGCTCTCAAATAAGTCAAAATTCATACAGGAAAAATGGTTTGACAGCTCTTGAAACTACATTTTAGTTTGATTGACGTTCTAAAATACGTGCCTAAAAGTATCAAAACTACTACGTCATCGCCAATGCTACATTTTAGCGGTAATCGCGAGATTTAAGAGACTTAAACCGAGGCGTGGGCGCTGACATATTTATAAGTTTCGTTGAATCTTAATTAAGTTTCACTCAAAATACTTTTAAATGAGCCGTGATTTAACCGAAAATGTCCGTATTACGGCTCCGTAAGTGCATACAACTGATAATGACGCGGATTGATAAGCGTCGGCTACATGTTATTTAAATTATGTGGACATTTTTAGACATTTATTTTAATTAAATGTGACTTGGAAATATGACTGGTATTAATGTAAATGTATCGTATATTATATTTTTTGTGTATGTAAAATATATTCCCGTCGATACTTAGAAATAGCAACCAATTGAGTCAAGAATTTTATTATGACGAATGTTTGACGACCATTTAAGATTAAATATAAATTACATCATTCACTATAATATGTAAATGTCATATAAACTATTACTAATTTCCAGTGCTATGAACATAGAATTACAAAACACTACTCGAAGGTCACGATTTTTTTTTTATATTATAGGGGAGCAAACATGTCTACGGCACAAAAAGGACAGTCATCGCACCCATTTTTAGTGGGTACGTTGCCGGCCTTTGAGAGAGGTTTGTTGGAGGTCGTACCCTCAGAGAAGACCCTCACCGGGAATCGATTCCACAGTTCGTTAGTTCGCAAAAGAACCTTTTATGCAGATTTTTAAAAAGAAAACAAAAATAAATTTAATTAAAGTATAGGTTATTTAGAGCAGTTCTCATCCCTGAGGTCGTAGGTTCGATCCTGCAATGGACTTTCTACTATCAATGGGCTTTTAATTCTCGTACGGTGAAGCAAAGTCGTCGGCGTGTGTCCGACCCAGGCTGATCACCTACTTGCCTATTAGAAAAATAATGATAGTGAAACACATACAGAAATTTAAGGTCCAGACCTAAACGGTTGTGGCGCCTTTTTTTTTGGTATTTACAGTACTTAGGGTAAGATTTAGCTAAGTATGACTCCCGGATGTCAAAAATCATTCATCAATCAAATGGAGTCATAAAACTCTTGTTTCAGAATGTCCCCCACTAGGCTTAAGATAGGCGGATACCATGCATTCCTCTATAAGAATGGATATTATATATATGAAACTATAATGACGTTGACGGTTCATTTACAATCCTCGGTCTTACTGATAGCTAGGCTGAAACCATACTTTAATACTCCAGTTCGTTCTCGGTCTGGTTAAGTATTATTAAATTAAAACATTGTGCATTTATATTATTCGTAATAGTCATGTTCCGGTCGAATCCAAATTGTATACGAAGAATATTTCTGAACGAATGAAGTGCATTAACGTGTGTATCCAGCCTAACTATAATCAGCCTAAGACCACTCCATACCTACTCGCGTCTTAGGATAATGTCGATAGCAATAAATATCGCAACAATAACCGCAATAAGTGCTTCTATGTATATGTGTATGTATGTAGCGGATAAGCCACAAGTCGGCAGGTAGTAGTTTACAGGCTTTATGATTTTAACGCGTTCTGACATCGCCTCGTTCACTGCTCAACTTTTGTGGTTTGGCCCAAGTTGTGAGCGAAGCGAGCGGAGAACAACGGAAGGTAGATATGAATATTATTATGAATCATATCCTCGATTTAAATTGTGACTGTCTCTGTCTCGTTATGCTTTATTAACTTGTTTTATATGTAATCAACGAAGAATGTTGAGGAATTTAGGACTCCCACTGACAATGACAGTATAGCGCTCGAAACGTCACATTATTTTTTTATATTAAATTATTCGCGTTTCTACTTCACGATAACTTAGCCATTTATGATATTATCATACTTCAACAGTTAATGATTGAATAAGTACATCTTTATTTTATCTCCAAGAAGGTCCTAGGTATAGGTGATACGGGTGTATCACCTCAACGTCTGTCGTTCCACAACTGAGCGTTTTTAGGGGAATTTGCCGCGCGCCACCACTATGTGGAACCAGCTACCCACTAAAATATCCGAATCAATCCGACTTAGAGTCCGTCAAGAAAAAAGCGCTCTAATTCTTTAAAATCCGTAAAATCTTTAAAATAATTCTTTAAACGCCGACAACGCGATCCCTCTAGCATTGCGAGTGTCCATGAGCGGCGGTCTCACTTAACAGATGAGCCTCCTGTCCGTGTGCCCCTGTTAAAACGAAACGAAGTGTATATATTCATAAAAACATTGGATCACTTACAAAATAGATAACTATAACTCTTTAAAGTTCTTCCACTTTTCCGCCGTTAACTTGTACCACGGAACCAACTCGATCGTTGATAAATTCTATCAATAACAGAGGCGAGAGACGTCGGGCGCCCTCAATAGTAATACCCCTTCGAGTGTGAAATAAGACGTTTAGTTTAGCGCGACATACACCGCCTCTGTCACTGTCTTGCTTAACCAACGATGAAAAAGTATTAAATAAATACTTTGAGTGAGCTTTTGAAATTATACTTGTATAGTCTTATAGATTCTGGTTGAGCAATCTGTATATTTTGGGAATATGTACTTTTTTTAAAGATTTATACTAAAACTATGTCGTTAATTTAAAATGAATAGTAAGTTTCTTCTACTATAAATTAAACAAAATTAATAAATGAATTTTTGATAAAATAATCTTTCTAAAGGCTCCTAAAGCTAGCTTGTCGTTATATATTAAAGCTGTTGCGTTTTCCCTTTACATAGGTTCGAAAATATATTATATATACTAATACTAAAGAGGAAAGTTTTGTAAGTCCATGTTTGTAACGAATTGGCGATCAAAAAGTACTGGACCCGGGATTTTAAAAATTCTTTCACGCATTTGAATGCTATATGCCATCACTGATTAATATATATTTTAATTGCAAAATTCCCAACTAAAATTACAATAATGTTCGAACAAATGCAATTCGTCAAAAAAAGATTCGAACTCGTTACTGAACCTCATTCAGTAAAACTCTTCATAATAGGTATATCTGCAGGTATTATTTTTTTACGCATCAAATTACGGAATTGATATATCCTTAGATTTTAAATATATTTGGAACGTCGGCTTGCAAACAAACTGGTCACTGACCACAGATTAATAAAAAAATAAAAATACAGGTGTTGTTAATTACATGTAATTTACGTTGATAAATTATTACCTTTTCAACGTACGACATTGATCAAGCTGGCGCCTTGTGACAAATGGCTTGAATAACTACGAGGTCGTGACAAGTTCGAATCCCGGCAGGTGCACGAACTGGATGAGTGAGATGTTGTCTATTCAGTAGTTTAGGGTTATAAGGTTTAGATGTCAAGGTACGGTCTTGGAGAATATGATTTGTCCCACTTTAGATTGCAATTATTTTGAGGATAGAAAGG